TCCCACCCACCAACCATATGCCTAGTCCCTATCGATCAAATGTTGATCAACAAAAATCCCCGGTAATCCTTCCCTCCCCCCCGTGATAATACGACATGCCCTAAAGGGCCCCTCGCCCCTTTCAACTGCACAAGATTCTCCCGGCCAAAACGGATCAGCGTCACCTCCCCAGTCTCTCCACACTACCCCCGACCCCAAACAGCTTCATAAACACAAAAACCCCGCCCATAATACCTCCGGTGTTCTGAAAAAATCCGATGCAGTGATGGAGGGCCGGCCACAGAGTAATTTGAAGAGCATATTACCGTTTCAAGTTGCTCTCTATTAGAAACATAGAGTGACATTCGCCCACAGATACGCACACACACACACACACACACACACACACACACACACACATACACACAATACCACGAACACACACACATACACACAATACCACGAACACACACAGCGCGTACCTGCGCCACTGAACATGCTGCGAGTGCCGGGAGCGGCGTCGTCACCGTCGTCATTGTCGTCATCGGCCCACATGAAGAACGAGCAGTTGTCCTGCGCGCCGTACGGCCGGCAGCAGCAGTAGAACTGGCGACCTGCGCACCGTGACGGCGATGATGGTGATGGTGGTGGTGATGGTGGTGGTGAGGATGATGATCGAATTGTAGCGGTGATAATGGTGGTGGTGGTGGTGGTGATGCCGATTCGTGAAAGGGTGGGAAGAGCGCAGACGTGTGTGTTAGTCCGGTTGGTATGATGTGACATGGACCAAGTACTCCAATTCGAACACACACACATGTAACAACACAACACACAACACACACACATGACAACACAACACAACACCACACACCACAACACAACGCCACGCAACACACATACACATAAAAAAACAACACAACATAATACAACACACAACACACGCACACCCACCCACCCTTGTTTGGCCCCTCCTTTGTGACGGTCTTGAGCGGGGCCGGTTGTCCACAGCCACACATGACGGTGTCGCCAGCGCGACTGGCACTCATGTTTCCTCCTCCTTCTCCCGTTGTGTTGTTGGAAGCATCGCCGTGCATACGGAAACCACCACCTGCTCATGTGTGTGTGTGTATGTGTGTGTGTATTTGTATGTGTATGTGTGTGTGTGTGTGTGTGAGTGTGGCTTGTGAGTGAGCGGTTGAGTTGTTGAGTGGTTGAGCGGTTGCACTACGAAACGGAAGGGGCGAGAACTGGAGAGATCGCAGTGGTGGCAAGAGGGGCGTGCAGCTTGGGTAAAGAGTGACAGATGTAAAACCCATGAGCACACACGAGTGTTGGCAATAAACAGACAGATACAGACACACTGTCAGACACACAGACACACAGACACACACACACACACACAGACACAGACACACACACACACACACAAACACACACACACACACACCGCCACGTTGCTGCTGCTCGTCCTCCCATTGGAAGAAGTCGCATTGCTGGTCGTCGCGCCGCACGCAGCGGAACATGATGCGACCGGAGTTGCTGCCGTTCTTGCACTCCAACCGAACAGAGGGGCGGTTGCACGAGCACGGCGGGCCACGCTCGTCTGCCCACTGGAAGAAGTTGCACGCGTTGCTGCCGTCATCATTTCGGTTGTTGCACTTGAAAAACGCGCGCCCTGATACGTGGGTGAGTGTGAGTGAGTGAGTGAGTGAGTGAGTGAGTGAGTGAGTGAGTGAGTGAGTGCGAACATGTGTGTGCGTATGTGTGTGTGTGCGAACATGTATGTGCGTATGTGCATGTGCGGGCGGGTATGTGCGGGTGTGTATTGAAATGAGAAGGTGGCATGGTCAACGCAGGGAAATGCACAAATCACAAATGTCACAAATAACAGCGAAAAGGGCAAGAGAGCAAGACACGCCACAATACCAGTGAACAGCAACAGAAAACCACCCAAGAAACATCACAAACAAACAGCCAACAAACCAAGTCACATACCGCTGTTCTGTTCACTGCGCGCCGTAAGCTTGATTGCCTCAGCGCCGCAATCACAAACAGGGCGCGCCTCGTCATCACCATCATCATCTCCATGTCCACCACCACCACCTCTTCCTCGTCCTCCTCCGTACATGCCACCACCACCACCACCACCGCCACCACCACCACCACCACCATCATCGCGTCCCTGTCGCCTTCGATCGCGCGTGAGCGTCATGCCAGCGCCGTCCGGGTGGCCGTGGCCGTGAAGCATTCGCGACCGTCCGCTGTTGAGGTATCGTTCATCACGCCGACGGGTCGTTGCGTCAAACCCATTCCCAAAGCTGTTATCGTGCCCACCATCACGACCGCCACTAACACCATCGCCAAATCCATTCCAGCCATCATCCTCGTGGCCGTTGTGTCTGTCATCTTCATCAAGCAACATTGCAAGTTCAGCCGCGTCATCATCATCGTCACCACCACCACCGCCAGTGGAACTGCGGTTCCGTTGTGCGCTGTTGTGGTCGTCCGTGTGGGAGTCGTTGTCAAGCATCTGCTTGCGTTGTGGTGAAATGAACAAGGGGCAAAGATGGGGGCAAGGGAGACGAGCGTGTCGATGTGAGAAGGCGGAGCAAGTCGCAAGAAAGGATGGGGACATCGGGCAGGAAGGAAAGACACAAGTTGCCGCTGATCAGATCACAATTGCACACCACACACATATACATATGAACAAACACACACACACACAACACAACACAACACAACATACCACAACACAACATACCACAACACAACACAACACACCACAACACAACACAACACAGCATACCACAACATAACACAACACAACACAACACAACACAACACAACACAACACAACACAACAACACACAGTCCAAACACCCCTCTCCCACCTCGTCAAGTGCTGCCCAGTCCAAGGAATCCTCATCCACCACCACCACATCATCGCCATCACTGCCCCTCCTCCCTCGCTGCTGCTGCTGCTGTTTGCTTCGTTTGGAGGACGATGTGTTGGCTGCCCTTGATCCCGTCTGTGTTCTCTGGTCCCCGCTCCTCTTTGCGCCACGTGTACCGTTTGCACGGCTTGATGTCGCTGGCGGTCGTGTTGCTACTGCTGTTGTTGTTCCCCGACCCCTTCCAGACGTTGTTGCTCCTGTTGTTCCTGATGCTGCTGTTGTGGTTCGACCTCCACCTCCACCACCACCTCCACCTCCACCACCACCATCGAGGTAGAGGGAGAGCTCACTGTCGCACAGACACGCGACGATATTGGACCGGCCCTGGTTTGTGATCAACGGAGAAGCAGATGTGGAGGTGCACATATTTGGGGAAGAGGCGGTGGTGAGTGGTGATGGAGAAGGTTAAGGTGATGGTGATAGTCGGGTGTGGATTGTGGGTTGTGGGTTGTGAGTTATGAAGCAACAGGAGCCATCAACAGCGGGATAAAGGCGTGCATTGTCCTGCAGCCACAGGACACACACACACACACACACACACACACACACACACACACACACACACACACATGTTAGGATAAACCGAACGCACGCGCTGAATGTATGGGGGAAGAGTGTTTGGCTTGAACTTCATCTTGAGTTTGCTGTTGATGGGAAGAACGGGGGGGGGACGAGGTGGGATAGGATGAGGGTGAGGATGAGGGTGAGGATGAGGGTGAGGATGATGGTGAGTGCAGGTATGGAGAGTCTAAAATGCAGGATAGGATGTCTTTGTTTGCCCTGAGCACAAGTGCGGATGTACAGCAGCAACAGACAGACAGACAGACAGACAGACAGACAGACAGACAGACAGACAGACAGACAGACAGACAGACGTACACACGAACGCATGCACACACACGCACACACACACACGCGCACCCGTAGACACACACACACACAATCGCAGGTCCAGAACACACTTCCTGCCTTCCTTTTATTCACGTGGTACTCACGTTGCACCGCATCGTGCACATGTGTCCGCGTCCACCGCACACTCGGCCAGGTTCTGCAGCCACACGCTCGCCCGACACGCTGGGTACCGCGTGCAGCCAATCATGTATTTCCCCTGCGCCGTCCGTCGAAGCACCTGTGAACATGGGTGAGTGTGAGTGTGAATGTGGTGTGTGGATGTGTGAACGTGTATATGTGTGTATGTGTGTATGTGTGAGTATGCTTTGTGTGTGTATGTGTGTATTTGTGTGTGTTGTGTATGTGTGCGTGTGCGAGTATGCATGCATGCATGAGCGGGGTCCGTGTACGCATGTGTGCCATGAACCTGGTCAGCTTGGTTGCACGCGGGACAGCGGCGAACAGCAACGGGCACCTCCCCTGATGGTCATGTGGTGGGTGGTGCGGCAATGCGGTGGGCGATGGGCGGTGGGGTGTGTTGAGGTGGACGTGAAGGACGAGGGTCAGATCAAGCGGAGAAGAACAAGCAAACAGAAATGAGGAAGAGAACCCAAGGCAACTTTAACGATAACCCACAGTCGCACCCACAATCGCACATGTATCCATGTGTGTGCGTGTACCTGGACGGCCGTTTGGAGGACCGAGCTGTTCGGCCATGGCGGCATCGAGTTTGTGCACCTGTTGAAACGAGAGGTTGCAAGACACGGAGCGACCGTTGAATGGAAACGGCGAATTGTCAGGCACAATGGCACGCATACACACACACACACACACACACAAAATCACACACACACACAATCACACAATCACACAACCACACAATCACACAATCACGCACACACACAATCACACAATCACACAATCACACCACCACACAATCACACCACCACACAATCACACAACCACACAATCACACACACACACACACAACAGCACACGTGCACACACACACACACACACACACACACACAGAGCAGCACACACTCTCCCTTGTGTGCGGACCTCTCGTTTGACGACGCTGAAGACGTTCCTATACTTTTCAATACCGTCACGAATGACATCTGTATCATCGCGTGTATGATCATGTTTGCGGTGGCGTGTTGGTGTGTGTGGGTGAGAGGTGGGTACAAACAAGTGTTGCGTGTGTGGTACGCACGCGCAGATGAGGGCAAAGGACACAAGAGCAAACGACACGCTTAACCGCATATGAACCACTACAAAAAAACCGACACAAAACCATAGATGCAATGCGCACAGATACAATGCGCACAGAAACAATGAACAGCTCACCGTCTTTTGAAATTTGTCCTCGACAAATCCTAAGGGAGAGACAAGACGGCGCGATGAGAAGACGGAATGAGCAGTTACAGGCAACCCGCCGCGTCGATTGTGCCACACAAACAAACAAACACACACACACACAAAAAAAAAAAACACAAACAAACACACACATACACAACCACGTTCACATTCACGCACACACATACACACATTCACACACACACACACATTCACACACACACACACACATTCACACACACACACACACGTTCACACACACACACACACACACACACACACACACACGTTCACAACAGCAGCGCACATCACCTCTTCATGTTCGCTTCCATTTCGCGCCTGAGATCCGGACGCGAGACGGAGATGGTGAAACTCATGGCATCATAGCCTGGCACGTCGCACGTCGCAGGATGGTGGTGATGATGGTGGTGATGATGGTGGTGGCGGTGGTGGGTAGCACGTTCGTGTACAGTGAAAGAAGGCGAGAAGGTAGGGTGCGCCACGAATGTGAAGCTACCAAGCCCTGCACGCAACGTCACACCCACAACTTCCCCCCCCCGGACCTATCACCACCATCACCACCATCACCACCATCACCACCACGTGACCCGTCACGTCTCCACCACCCTGCAACCAACCGTTGACCAAGGCGATGCCGAGGGTGGTGGGCACGAGTTCGCGCTGTGGCGTCAGTTCAACGTAGTGCCGCTGCTGAATTGTCCGAATGTGCTCGGCCATCGTCGCATCCGTGCCTGCAGGCAAATACAAGAGAGGGGACGGGGTGATTGTGTGTGTGTGTGTGTGATTGTGCGTGTGTGATTGTGTGGGTGTGTGTGATTGTGTGTGTGATTGTGCGTGTGTGATTGTGTGGGTGTGTGTGTGTGTGTGTGTGTGTGTGCGTAAGATTGTGATTGAGGGGCGTGCGAGACACAATGGGTGTTGTTTTGTCGCTGGAAGTGGTGGCCTGCAAAAGCGTGCAACGGCCACAGATGTGCATTCAGAGCACTGACCGATTTCGTATTTTGCCATGAGGGTCAGGAGATCGGCCTCTGAGAGCAGCTTCGGCGCCACCGTCTCCCCAGATTGCATCTGCAGTGCACGCACACACACACACATGCATAAGTGAGGAGACATACATCGATGGGGTGAGGTGGAGTGAGGGGGGAGCTCGAGGTAAATGGCTAGGTTCGCAACAAACACACACGCACACACACTCACCTGAAAGTCTGGTTCAAACTGCTGCCCAACCGAGTAGTCGGGAATCATCTGTGAACCACGCACACACACACATATGCACACGCACGTGCGCACGTGCACGTTCAAGCAGAGTTCAGCGATGAGGATGAGTCAAAGCACGACAGCAACAGCAACGACGCCAGCCACAGCAGCAGCGGACACCACCATCAACAGTTAGAATACCATCAACAGTTAGAACACCACCACCATCAACAGTTAGAACACCACCACCATCAACAGTTAGAACACCATCACCATCAGCACCAGCACCGCACCTTGCCCTTCCACGAGTCAAACGGGTGGTAGACTTCGAGGTAGCCCCTGTCATGAATGGCCAAACCTTTGGCAACAAACTGATGATTGATCGTGGTGTGATGATGTGAAAGATGTGGTGGCATGACAGGGCGTGAGGAGGGAGGTAGACGTGTGAACATGCAGTGTCCGCGTACAGCCATTCAGCACAACCATCCAACAAGCTCTTCCAAGCACATGACATGGCGTCCCTCTCCCACTCCCCCCCCCCTCCTCATGAAACCCTCCCCTCATCATCAACACGCATCCACTCCATCCACCCTCCATCATCCTCCATCACCGTTTCTCCGGCCGCGGTGATGGTGACTGTCGTCTCGCGTCCTTTCGCGTTTCGCGACACACACGCGAGGAAGTGCCGGCACACAAGCTGGCATGATGCATACAATGGCGATGGGTTGGGGGAGGGGAGAGGGAGTGATGGTGTGCGCGCGCGTGTGAGCGTGAGCGTAACCGTAAGCGTAAGCGTGAGCGTGAGTTGTTGTGTGCCATCGTGTGCCCACGTTGACGCAGTAACACTCTCAACTCCACCACACCAGCACTGTCGCCCCACACCACCACGGTGACCACCACCACCACCCGCAACAACCCCGGCACCTCGTAGATCTTCCGCTCCTTGTCCGATGCGAGTGCGGCGGGCGCGATGTTCTTGGTCGGGTGGATTGGAGGATGCGCCTCGTCGGTGTTGCGCCCGTTGCGTGGGCTCGGCGCCCCGTTTGGCGGTACCTGATCACGATGGTGGTGATGGTTGTTGTGGTGGCGGTGATGGTTGTTATGGGGTGTAAAGGAAGAGGGGAACAAATCACACACACACACAGGTAGATAGACACACACACACACACACAGATAGACACACACACACACACACACACAGATAGACACGCGCACAACACACACACACACACATACACACAACACAACACCCCAACGCACCAGCGTCTGTGCAAAGGCGCCCCACTCCGTGTGCGCCGTGAGGTTCTCCACCAGTCGCGTCAGGTTGATGCTCTTGTCAAACATGTCCGTCTCCGTGCGCGGATAAGAAATGAGACCCTTTTGGTACAGCGACTCTGCCGTGCTCAGCGCTTCTGTTGGCGCCATGCGGAATCGGCGTGACGCAATCTTCTGCAGCTCCTGCACCATGGCCACAGCGGAGAAGCCCGGGGAGAGGTGAGTGTGAGTGTGAGTGAGTGAGTGGGCGTGGATGTGTGCATGTGTGTGCATGTATGTGTGTGCATGTATGTGTGTGTGAGTGAGTGAATATGTGAGTGGGCGTGAATATGTGAGTGGACGTGGATGTGTGAGTGAGTGAGTGCGTGGGTCAAGGGAGGACGCGTTGTCGAACAATAAGACAAAAAGCAGCAAATGGCTGCAGTCACAGCACCATCACGCCACACCATCACACCACCGCTCCTTCGAATCTCGACTGACGGTGGTTGTGAGGCCGACGGGCCGCCACTTGTCGCGCGGACGACCTGGTGGTAATCGTGATGATGAGCCGTGGTGATGATGGTGATGAGTCGTGGTGATGATGGTGGTGGTTGAGCGGCAAGCAACGCATGACACACACACACACACACACACACACACACACACACACACACACACACACACACACACACACACACATGTACACACACACATCTCGAACTCGCCTGTGACGTTGGTGACGGTTGCGATCTTTGCGTCCTCGCAGAGTTCGAGGAAGACGCTGCACACGTCCTCGTCATACACGCGATACCTGCACCATTGGCGATGGTGGTGGTGGTGGTGATGGTGGTGGTGGTGGTGATGGTGGTGGTGGTTGAGGGCAGTGTGAATCGAGACGCAGCTAGCTGGCCCACACACGCTCACGCACCTACACGCATGTATCTGCACACAAACACACACACACACACACTTGAGCGTTCACACATGCACATTTTCTGTGCTGTATACTGTTGCTCACCGTGACCAGTTGAAGTCAACCGTCATCTCCTCGCATCGGTGCTTCGCTGTTTTGGTCATACACACACGCACACGCACACACACACACACAGACACACACACACATCGTTGGGTGGACAAGAGGACGAGCATGTGAGGGGCAGCAGGTTCATCGTGTGCGTTGTTGTGCACACGTGCATGCGCACGCACATCGCCCCGTCAGCCAATTCGCCATCACCACCAAACAGCCGTCACCATCAACTGATCTCCACTGTACCGATGATGCGCCAAAAGTCCTCGGGAATAAACCGCTCCCGCTCGCGATACTGAACATACACACACACACACACACACACACACACACACACACACACACACACACACACACACACACACACACACACACACAC